GGAAACCCCGTCTCTACTAAAAAAATACAAAAGCTAGCGGGAGATGGTGGGCGGCTGAGTTCCCAGCTAACTCGGGGAGGCTGGAGGCAGGAGAATGAGGTAAACCGGAGCAGAGCTTGCAGTGAGTTGAGATCCGGCCACTGCGCGCTCCCAGCCTGGGGTGACAGAGCGAGAATCGTCTAAAAAAAAAAAAAAAAAAAAAAAGAAGGAAAGAAATATCATTCCATACAAACTCAGAGGAGGGGAGGGGAAACTTTCTCAGACTCATTTATAAGGCCCTAGATTACCTCTTGCTACCAAACCACAAACCAAGGACACTACAGCAGAACTATAAACCCAACAGCCCTCATGAAATAGAGTACCAAAAAAATTTTTCTTTTTTTTGTTAATTAGAGAAGGGGGTTTACCATGGTTGCCCAGGCTGGTCTTGAATCCTGGGCTCAAGGCATCTGCCCAACTCAGCCTGCCCAAGGACTCTGGGAGATTTACAGCATGAGTCACAGCAATCCGGGCCAAGATCTTTTTTTTTTTTTCTTTAAATCAGGCAAATCCCAATCCATCAACACTGTAAAAAAGAATTATACCCCAAGGACCAAGGCTGGTTTCCTCAGGAATGCAAGTTGGTTTAACATCCAAAAAAACAACTAACTGTTTAATACATTCTTAATATGATTAAAGACAAAAAGAAACATAGGAGAATGATATTAGAAAAAAGCTGACAAAAATCCAAAATCCAATTGCGCTACGATTAAAATCTCTCAGAACTAAAGATATAGGAAGGGATCCTTTAATTAATTCAACGGCATCCTATAGAAAACCTAACTGCTGACATATGGTTAGAACCAACCCAAATGGCCTTTCATATTAACATTAGGATAGAAGAAAAGGATTTCCTTTTTTTTGGAGACGGGGCAGTCTCGCTCTGTTGCCCCAGGCTGGGAGTGCAGTGTGTTGATTTTCTGCTCACTGCAAGCTCCGCCTCCTGGGTTCACACCATTCTGCCTGCCTCAGCCTCCCAAGTAGCTGGGCTACAGGTGACCCGCCACCCTACTAATTTTTTTTTTTTTTTGGTATTTTACTAGAGATGGGCGTTTCACCATGTTGGCCCCGAATGGTCTCAAACTCCTGACCCTGTGATCCCGGGCCTCAGGCCTCCAAAGTGCGGGATTACAGTGCTGGAGCCACTGCACCCGGCCTTTTCTTTTTTTTTGAGACACATCTCGGGGCTGTCGCCAGGCGGAGTGCAAGGCACAATCTCAGGCTCCCACCGGCAGCTCGCCTTCCCAGTTCCACCACCCATCTCCTGCTCCAGCCTCTGAGAGCTGGGACTACAGGGCCCGCCACCATGCCTGGTAAGTTTCACCGTGTTAGCCAGGATGGTCTCGATCTCCTGACCTCGTGATCTGCCCGTCTCGGCCTCCCAAAGTGCTGGGGTTACAGGCTTGAGCCACCACACCCGGCCTGAGTTTGATAAATTCAGTACTGAGGCCATTTTGGTAGCAGGGTAATCTAGGCCTTATAAATGAGTTGAGAAGTGTTCCCTCCTCTGAGTTTGTATGGAATGATATTTCTTTCTAAAGAGTTTGATAAATTCAGTACTGAGGCCATTTTGGCCTGGACTTTTCTTTGTGGATTTTTAAAATCTTTTATTTTGGAATAATTTTAGATTTATAGAAAAATTCAAAATAATGGAGTTCCTATATATCCCTCATCTAGTATATATGTCAAAAGCAAACATTGGTATATTACTTTTATATAAACTCCAGGCTTTATTCAGCTTCTGGACTTTTTCTGTTCTATGATCTAATCCAGGATATCACACTAAATGTGTTCCAGTGTGATGTTTATTTTCTTCCTTTTATTTACAGGGTTTGATTTGTTCTTCTTTTTCTAGCCTCTCAAAGTGGAAGCTCGCATTATTGATTTTAGACCTTTCTTCCTTTCTAATATAAACTCTAAAGCTATTTATTTTCCCATAAGCATTGCTTTGCTGCGTCTCATAAATTTTTTTCCATGGAGTGTCACTCTCAGGATATCATACATTTTTTTATGTTGTGTTTTCAGCTTCTTTCAACTTGACATTTTTAATTCTCCTTGTGGTTGTTTGATTCTAAATATTTGGGTTTTTTTATTTCTTTCTGTTGTTAATTTTTAATTAATGTTATTGTGTTCAGAGAATAAACTTTGTATAATTTTAGTCTTTTTGAATGAATGAATGAATTGATTGATTGACAAGTTCTCACTCTGTTGCCCAGACTGGAGTGTGATGGCATGGTCATAGCTTACTGCAGCCTCAACCTGATGGGCTCAAGTGATCCTCCCACGTCAGCCTCTTCCTGTAGTCCCAGCTACTTGGGAGGCTGAGGCAGGAGAATGGTGTGAACCCAGGAGGCGGAGCTTGCAGTGAGCAGAAAATCACACCACTGCACTCCAGCCTGGGCAACAGAGCGAGACTCCGCTCAAAAAAAAAAAGGACATCCTTTTCTTCTTCCTAATGTTAATATGAAGGCATTTGGTTGTTAACCATTATGTCAGCAGTAGGTTTTCTATAGATGCCGTTGATTAAATTAAAGGAATCCCCTTCTAATCTTAGTTTGAG